AGTAGATGGCATTTTTCAGTGTGTCCCTAACACAACAGTCACAGTTTTTGTTTGCGATCACCTATAGGGGTCAGCAGTTCATCCACGCGAGGATACTGCAAGGATGTGAATACATGCTTAGGGCAGATTTAGATGGATTGAATTTAAGAAGCACAGTGCTACAGTATGTGGGTGATCTGCTCTGTGTTATATACACAGGCACTGAAGCCGCCGTTGCTGAAGGTCTTAGCGAAAGGGGGGCTTGAGATGCCCAAAGGGCTTTAAAAGGGATACAGCTGATACATATGGCAGAGCCTCCTCCTGTACATGCTGAATGTATGTCAGATGGTCGCTCCCTGATTATAATCAGTCAAGAGAATAAACCGGTGATTTGCAACTTCTCCCCGTGTCAGTGGTGAATCTCTTCTCATCCACGGACCCGGTGGAGATGGCGTACTCCAACACTATACGCTTTATTATTCCTTAAAACGTAATTAAAAATAACACACTAATAAAATACATGTAATGTATTTTTATTCTATTAAAGTTTAACACCCCCAAACCATATGTCCCCCTATCGGCAACACGTGGCATAAGCATGTATGGTACCATTTGGCCAAAAACCCTTGACCAATCAGAACAAAGGATATGCCCACCTCCCGCTTATGACGTCATAGATGGGGGGAGATTTAAGCTCCGCCCAAACTACCACTTAACCTCTCTTAGGCCTCATTACAGATAACGATGAGACGGCCTATAGAGAGGAGGTGATGAGACGGCCTATAGAGAGGAGGTGATGGCACTGTACAACTGGTGTCTGGATAATAACCTCTCTCTTAATGTCAGCAAAACAAGAGAAAAGATAGTGGACTACTGGAAACGACCAGTCAGGGAACATCAGCCCATCCACATCAACAGTGTCAAGGTCGAAAGGGTCAGCAACTTCAGATTCCTTGGAGTTCACATCACCGAGGATCTCTCCTGGACCCTTCACACACACACTGTAATCAGAAAAGCTCGCCAGCGGCTCTACTTCCTGAGGAGGCTGAGGAAGTTTGGCATGAACACCAACATCACCTCAAATTTCTACTGGAGTGCGATCGAGAGCTTGCTGACAGGCTGTATTACAGACTGGTACGGCATTTGCTCTGCCAGCGGCCGGAAATCACTACAGAGAGTGGTTAAGGCAGCAGAGTACATCACAGGCATGAGTCTTCCTGCCATTCAGGACATTTATCTCCAGTGGTGTCTCTGTAAAGCACATAGCATCATCAAGGACCACAGCCACGACTAAATAAACAAACATATCTCGCTGCACTCACCAAGGAATGCAAAATGTATGATATGATAATCCTTTCTTCTGTCATTAAAACAGACGTCAAAGTTTACTTTAGTTATGTAAATGAAGTACAAGAACTTGAAGATAAAACTCATGCAGCTTAGGCACAAACAAAGCAGCTTCTATCATTTACACCTGCAGGCTACCTTTAAAAAGACCTCCCCCTTGTGCAAACTACGGTGTCACCCACAGGACAAAATTCAATAGCACAGGTACACTCAAAATTTGTTCACAAATTCACACACAAACCACATTAAAGCACATACAAAACTAAAAAATATTTGTGAATAAATTAGAAAATAAATGACGTATTTATATATTGTTTTAGAAGAGCAACTTTGACTGAAATAACCACTCGTTACAACCGAGGTATGCAGCAAAGCATTTGTTAAGCCACAACACGCAGAACCTTGAGGCGGATGGGCTACAACAGCAGAAGACCCCACCGGGTACCACTCATCTCCNTCTGATGCCGTTTTGTCTGAAGTCTGACGGTTTTTTTCCTGACACCCGAGTCCGTTTTGTCTGAGTTCGATGTCTGATGCCGTTTTGTCTGAAGTTTGACGGATTTTTTCATAAGACCTGAGGATGTCCTAAAATGAACACCGTACCGTGGTACCCAAGCAGATAGGATGAACGGCAGACCGAAGCCCCTCGTCGACACGCGAAGGTCAGCCTACCGCCCTGGTGAGTCACTTCCCACCGGGAACCAGTTCCATAACACCCACTTCCTACCCATCAGCAGAAGACTCGGGACTCAGAGAGTGAGGGGTGTTACAATAATCCAGACCGCGTCGTGAAGACCGTGAGGTGCCGCCAAACTGCGGCCGTCTACCGGACACTATAACCGACTAGGCTGTGGAATAGGGGAGCCAGCCAGCCAAACTAAATTATAAAATATGTACAATAATATGACAATACCTATTTCCCTGGGACAATTTGCACTGTTTGGTAAGGTAATTCAGCTAGTTTCTTCGTAACTTACAAACGCATGACTATCGACCGACTGTCAGTCAGTCTCATAACCACACAAATACGCCGACCTGAACGCACGACTTACAAGCAGACCAGGCCTTAAACGCTAAAAGTAACCGGACGGGCAACAACGTTATAGAGGCGACACTGGAGTCAGCTAAACGGCCAGCGGAGCCGAACCACAGACTTACCGTGAAGATAGAGCGTCCCGGGGATGGCTAGCCTCCTTCACAACGCCGCCTACGTCCAGTCGGCAAACGGTAGCTGCTCGAACGACGCTCCGCTTCATCGAGGGCTCGTACAACAGTTCGCGCTGCCCCATAGCAGCATTATGGGGGACTGAGAGCGGGAGGTCGAAGCTAACAGACTACTTTAAATTACAGATTAACCCTCGTGGGAAGCAATCTGACTTCGTATATTTACTCTAGGAAGACTAACATTTTATGAAGTACGCTTCATATGACTAACCAGCTAACTAACCGTTACTCAATTCAAACTACAGCACTCCTTTACCGCCTCGACCAGAACTGCGAAATCTAGCAGAACATACGCGAAAGACACTCAGCTGATCAATGAAAGTCAGATGGGAAGACGCCGATTGGCTACGAGAACACGTAGCGTACTCAGTAGTCGTGTTTCATTGGTTGCATGTTTTCTGTATCCGTTGTGCGTCACGTGTAAATCATCTTGGTCGTGTAAGACGTGATCGCTTTAAAATGCTGATTTAAGAAATGTGA